AGGGACTTGAGGTTCAGATGATGCAGACGGCCGTGGTCCTGGGAAATCAGGTCTGGAAACAGAGGTAGACATATTAGTTAGTGTTTACACTAAGAGGTCTAGGAATGTGGTTAAACAGTGCTGGTGGGGCCAAGTGGGGACTATCAGAATAACTCGTGCTTGGTCCCTTCTGATCTTCAGCAAACCTCGTGTATGAGAGGAATGGGAGAAAAGACACAAAAGAGATGACCCATCCAAGGAAGGAGGAAGTAATCTGTGAGAGACCCAGGGCTCTGACCCAGGAAGGAACATAACTGAAGATACTTCCTGTTGTACTTCGTTGAGAACAGATCTATCTGGAGATTACCCACTTCTGGAAAATGGCTTTCACAACATATGGATGGATGGACCACTTGTGGTTGGAGAACGACCTGCTGATCTGATCCGCTAGCTCATTCTGTGATTCTGGCAGATAGGAGGATCGAGGGGGCTATGCAGAATTCCCACAAGCAAAGTGCTTCCTGGCACAGGTGAAAGGAGCACACTCCTCCCTGCCCAGTGATATAAAACATCACTGTTGTGTATTTTGTGAAAACTGACACGTACTTGCCCTCCACATGGGGTTCGAATGCCTGGCAGGCCCAGCAAACCGCCCTGAGCTCCCTGGCATTGATGCGCAACAAGAGCTCTTCCAGAGACCAGAGGCCCTGAGTTCTGAGGGACCCCAAGTGAGCTCCCCCCAGCTCATTGGTGAAGTGTTTGTGACAAGAGACACTGATGGTTGGGGTCTTGAGAATGGGACTCCTACACACACTGCCAGCAGATCCAGCCACCAATGGAGGGATGCAATCACTGATGGGGAAACTGTGATGACCGTGTCTAAGTGGTGTCGGCTTGGTGAGTATACAGATGCCACCCACCCCTGGAGGGGTCTGAACTTAAGTCTCGCATGCTGCATCACACAGTTGCATGATGTCATGTGGCCCAAGAGCTTCAAGCAGTTTCCTGCTGTGGTAATGGGTTGATTTCTGAGATTCTCTATAAGCATCCCTATTAATTGGAACTATGCTTCTGGGATGAAGGCTCTGGCTTGAACCGAGTCACAGATCGCCCCAATGAACTCTATCCTTTGAGCCCAGGAGAGAGTAGACTTCTCTCTCATTTATTAACAGACCTAAGTCCTGGAAAGTTGACTGTATTAACTTTACATTGGACTCCACCTTGACCTTGGTCTGACCTCTGATCAGCCAGTCATTGAAGTAAGAGTAGACGGGAATCCTGTCTCTTCAGGAAGGCTGCGACAACTGCCATGCACTTTGTGAACATCCAAGAAGCTGCTGACAGGCCAAGCGGGAGCACCACAAATTGGTAGCGCACTTGGTTCACGATGAACCTGAGGAACTTTCTGTATCCCTGAAAGATTGAGATATGGAAGTAAGCATCCTTTAAATTGAGGGCAGCACACCAATCCCCCGGTTCCAGGGAGGGGATGATGGAAACCAAGGAGACCATGCAGAACTTTAGCTTCTTCATGAAACTACTGACCTTTCGCAGGTCTGGAATCAGTCTGAGATTGCCGTTGGCTTTCAAAATTAGGAAATAATGGGAATAGAACCCCCCAGCTCCTTAACTTTGGTGAAGCTTCCCCCCCTAGATCCCACCCTTAGGAATGACTGCACCTCTTGGGCTCAAAAGGATCCCTAAAGAGAGATGGGGAGGCGGAAAACTAAACTGAAGGGTGTAGCCCAGTGCTATCGTAAGTAGCACCTAGAAAACAGGTAATACGGGCCCACACCTGATAGAAATGGGATAAATGGTCCACAAAAACTAGGGAAGTTGGATCCCAGTTCTGTCCTTGCACGTCATCCTTGAGTGTCCGATCAAAAGGGCTGCTTAGACCTCTCAGAGTGTCGGGGGGGGGGGGGCAGAGGGTGAGGCAGGTGCGGACCAGGATTGGGGCAGAAGTCTTCTCCTAAAGCCTCTGCTCCTCCTCCTCCTATTGTAATCTTACCAGGTGGGTGGTGGGAAGAAACGAGGAACCGGCTGAGGGTTATCATCACGTTTCCTCAAGGATGCTAATGTATAAAGCCCTAAGGACTTCAGAATGGCCCTTGAGTCCTTTAGGCTGTGCAGCTTGGAGTCTGTCTGTTCAGAAAAGAGCGACGTACCCTCAAAAGGAAGGTCCTCTGATGACTGTTGAACCTCATGCTGTAGATCCGACGATTGAAGCCCAGAGCTTTGCATTGCCACCACTGAAGCCATGGATCGAGTTTCAGAGTCCATGGCATCTAAGGCTGCTTGCAGGGATGCCCTTGCCACAGATTTGCCTTCCTCCATGAGAGCTGCAAATTCTCACCTGGACTCCTGTGGTAGTAACTCCTTAAATTTCAACACAGAGTCCCAGAGGTTGAAATCATACCTGCTCAGGAACACTTGCTGATTTGCAAGCCTGAGCTGCAGGCCACATGTTGAATCGATCTTTTTGCCAAAGAGGTCTAATTTTTTGGCATCCTTGGCCTTGGCACCTGCTGACTCTGTCATTCCCGCTCACTGGCTGCTGACACAACCAAAGGTTGTGGTAGATGTGTATAAAGGAATTCACACCCCTTAGCTGAGATAAATTATTTCTTTTCCGTTTTCTTTGCCATTGGCTGGAGGGACGCTAGGGTCTGCCATAATGCCTCAATGGGGTCCATAATAGCATTGTTTAGTGACAATGCCACTCTTGAAGAGCCTGTTACTGCTACAATGCCCACCAGGGCATGGGAAGACTCCCTGATCTCCTCTACCTGGATACCCAGGTTTTGAGCTACTCTCTTGATGCGCCTTGTAATCGTCCTGGGATGGTGTTATGTCTGCTCCCGCGACAGCTTCATCTTGAGAGGAGGCAGATACTGTTCTTCACCCATGGCACCAAACAGGTCTCGTGGTGTCGGATGTTGATATTTGGCACCAGTCTTGGTACCGGAGCCTGGATCCTGCTCCAAGAGAAGTGGCGCTCTGGACTCTGACACCAGTGTATAACCTTCTGGAATGTGACCCTTGCATCATAGGAAAAGCCCAGGGGTTCCAGAAAGGCCACTATACTGGTATCTGCCACTGTCCTGGTGGCCAGGCCATGAGTGGGATGCCTTGGCTCAGGTCTATGGTTGGGTAATACCACCTGGAGTGACAGTGCCGGCTCCTGCGAGAGATGTATGACTCCGCATCCAAGTCAGTTTCTGAAGATTCCCTTCCCGGAGACCAGGGTGGAGCGGTGCCGACCAGTGCCAGCAAGTAGTGCCAGGAGGGAGGAGATTGGGCCTGGGCCATCATGGCCTGTTTCCCCTTTGAAGGCACTTGAAGCCTTTGGTGCCATGGCAGCCAGTGCTGCTGCTGACAGCTCCTGTACGGCTGGGAATGGCAGTACCAGTAGAGAGAGTAAATCTCTTGCTGCCTGAAATGCCTCTGGCATCGACGGTACCACCCATGTAGTGGAGCTCCAGTGGCTCTTCTGTGGTGGAGAGTTCATCGGTGCTAGAGTCAATGGTACGCATTCCCTGGCCAGAGTCAATGGAGAATTGTTAAAGACACAGAGTGGTCTGACGCAGGTCGCACTCTACTAGTATCTCTGTGCTCAGGGTTGGGGGAATCGACCTCTGTTGGTCTTTTTCTGCTTCTTTCTTGGCACCAGTGATGGAGAGCAGTGCCAAAGTCCCTCACTGGAGCACTTTTCCTCGGCACTGGGGATGACCGACCGGGGATAAGGAATGGTGCTTAGTTTCCTGAAGAGTAGACGGGGCACTCCTTACTGAGGCTGAAGTACTCAGTGCCAAGTCTGAGTGACCCAGCTGCGAGGGAGGTTGAAATGCTGTCTCCATGAGGATAAATCTGAATCTAGCATCTATATCCTTTTTGGTGTGGGGCCTGAAGTCTTTGCAGATCTTGCAGCACTCCTACACATGAGCTTCCCCCAAGCACTGAAGGTAGCTGGAATGGGGGTCACTCACAGGCATAGGCTTGTGGCAAGAAGCAAAAGGCTTAATCCTGGAGACCGAGGCAAGCCCTGCTACTGGGCAGGGATTAACCCTGCTGAGCAGGGTTCACTAACCTGAAAAAAGCAAAGGAGTACTTGTGGCACCTTAGAGACTAACCGATTTACGAAAGCTTATGCTCAAATAAATTGGTTAGTCTCTAAGGTGCCACAAGTACTCCTTTTCTTTTTGTGAATACAGACTAACACAGCTGTTACTCTGAAACCGTTCACTAACCTATTTATCTAACAACTGAAACTTAACTACTAAGAATAAAAGATAACTATATACAACGAGGTTAGAAAGTCCACATAAGGAGTGCTTGTGAACACAAGGATGAGGCAGTTGCAGCAACCATCACAGACAGTAAAAAGGAACAGAGGAGGCTGTGGGTAGGCAGGAGCCTTTACACAGGCACTATGAGCGCGCAACTCCAAGGGGCACCAGAGCCAACCCAATGGATACCACTGAAGGAAAAATTTTCCAGGGGTGGTGCAAAGGGCGAGCACACATCTACATTGCAATGGACATAAGCAAGCACTTGAAGAAGAAAATCAAGCCATTTGTCTTCACTTTCCAGGCCCTTCATGATTTATCCCCCAATCTACTCATGATCTCCCATTTGCTAACAAAATGTCAACTCCCACCTCCAATCAGCCCATGATGCCAGTCTCCATTAACCACTTGCTAAATTTTCAAACAAGCACTACCATGCGTTCTCCCAGGCTGCCCCCATGCTTGGGAGAACCCTTTTCTGGGGCTTCTAGACACTACAGCAATACATTAATAAATTACAATTATTATTATTACAATTAATTATATGTCCAAGTAAAATATGCAAATCAAAGTCAGTTCTGGCATAAGCTGGTGCAAACTTGATTCAGTACGTTTCAGGCAAGGAGTAGGACAAGGATGCTAAAAGAAAAGCTACCTGAAATTTTTCCAACCTAGAACAGAATAGTTAGGAGCAAAAAAATAAAAATAAAAACAAAAATAAAAACTAAGTACCTTCTCTTTTGTCACCTTGACTAAATTCAGCATGGGGAAATACTTTATGTAAAACCGCCAGGAGGTTATTGAAGGTTCTTTCCAGCAGCGGCCTTATGACAAGGGATAGTGCATGTCCTGAAGACAACACGGCACGTTGGGAAGCAGGCACAATATTCTGCATTGCATGGTGAAAATCTTGTGCGCTGAGAACTATTGAAGAAACATCAAGCTGCAGTTTCTGACTGCTTGCGTAAATCTGAGGATAGCGCCGTCGCAAGGCAATCAAGGCAGCCTCAGTGCAAAGTGCTTTTATGTCAGCTCCACAGTACCCTAGTGTACAAAAAACAAACATACATATGTTCCATGAAGAAGCATCAACATTTTGCATATGTACAAATAAGCCTGAAGCTAAAAAAGAGCAGCCAGTTGCACTTCACTGTCACAGACTCTTTCACACTGCATCCAGTGAACAGGTACTGTTCCAGTGCAAATTAACCCAGGGACTGTTACAGCTTAAGAAGCAAATGTTAAACCCTTATTAAAAACCAATGATACTATTATCTGGACTACTCTCAGAGACCACCAGAAAAAAAAAGATAGCTTATAGAAGAAAGGCAAATGCAAATACAAAATAGCATCCACTGGTATTCCTACACAGCAATTGATATGGCAAGAAATTAATATGTCAATATCAATATTTTCCACTATTTGATTATAGAATGTACTGTAGCTTCCCCCAGCTTTGTGTCATCTCTATTCCTTTTCTTCTTTATAGTCTTTGTTTAATCCACAAATGTATCAGTTGCAACTGCAATTACGTGAAATAGAATTGTAAAAAGTTACAGGGAAGCCTATGTACAAAATTAAAACTTATTTTGTGATTTTTTTTTTAAATGAGCAAATGGTCCAGATGAATTTTAGGAACAAAGTACATATATCCACAAAGCATCTGAGAAAATGGAGGATATTAAGGAAAAATATTTAATCAGAGCATACAAGTAGACAGAAAAATTCCCTCACCTAATTCATTCTTCATAGTTGCTAGAAGAAACTAAGGTTTTACTCTCAAGCACAACACTCTCTCTCTCTCTGTCTTTTTAATTTTTTAACTCTAATTGTATGGAGAAAAGTGGCAGAAAGTCTACTATGCTGTTGTAGGGTTTTTTATTCATTCTATTTTCTGTTTAGAACCTATAGTTGCTTAATCATCATTATTTAGAGCCATACATACAACTGTATTATACAGGCCTAAAACTTTTAAATAGTCTTTTGTGGTACTAATTGACAGTTTTGCTGCTTTCAGGACTAAAACAATTGGATTTCTGATACCAGTATGCTTCTATCCTTCATAAAAACAGACATGTATATTTTGGTGCATTTTGTTTCACCTCTGCTGAACATGCTGTAGTACAGAATACTAATTACAAGATTATTCTCTTATAGAAAATCTTTTTATAGAGTTTTTAACCCAGCATACAGAATGATACGATTAGCAGGGATATAGTTTATTAAATTCTACTCATTTTTAAAGATGTTTATAGAATCTATTCACGATTTTTAAAAAACTGACCAGGAATCCTTTAAATGGTTGTCTTGGACATTTTTTAGACCTCTTTTTGGAAAAAAAAATCATGGTTTTTCTGCTCCTCTCTATGTTAAGGAGGGTCTTCCGGCAGGCACAAAACCCTCACCACTGAAGTTGTTTATGCCTGCCTTCCTGCCTTGTTCCTCTCTTACTGTGCACACATCTGCCCTGACTTTGTTTCAGCTTTACTAGTGCCTCTGGTAAACACCCCTTTACAAGGCCTGCACCACCAACAAAAAAATAAACATGACAATACAAAGTGTGGACAAATGCACAAAGTAAACAAACTGGGGGGATGAATAAATCTCTCCCCCTTTTCTAATTTTTAGTCATATTAATTTTAAGGGTTACTAGTAATAAAAGTAGGTAAAAAAAAATTTAAGATAAAAATGTAGTTTTAAACTGATGGTGTCCCATTAAATTCTATAGGACTTTTCCATAAAGATTTGAATGCGAGTCCAAGTATGTGAGTCCAAGTATGTGATTATAGTCAGAACATTACCATAAATATTGGATTCCACAGACAATTTTTTGAATAAACCTCTTCCATTTTGTAAAAATGGCTAGTAAAATGGTAAAAAGTTATAACTGTGTAAATAATCACAATAGTTGAGTGCCAGGTTAAATGAAAAACTATCCTGAATTTCACATTAATAAGCCATAGCTCAAGTGAAATCAAACAGATTAGATACAAGCAATCTTATTGTCCCTCATTTTATTAGAAGATAAATTGGGGTTTTTTTTTTGTTTTGTTTTGTTTTTTTAAACAGTTAACTAATTACAGGTGGCTTCTGATTAGAATTCATTGTTCAGGTACTAAGGCCCCAATTTCACAATTAAATCCATGTGGACAGACCCAAACACGTGGCAACTTATTTCAGGTGCAGGGCATTCAATTGTACTGGATAAATTAGAATTTGCGTTGTACTCTAAATGCTGCTTTGCCTTTTTAACTTTGTGTATTATTTTACTAGTTCACAATGGTCCATTTCTTGATAGAATAGCACAACAGATTGAACAAATGAGTTTGGGGAAAACTAAACCAACTTGTCAAGTTCAAACATGCATTACAGTTATATTGCTCCTCTAATCTCCCTTTTAACTTAAAAATCCAGTTTAAGCATCTGACACAAATTAAGACTCAGCAAATTTAAAGCTATGTCCTTTCCAATTCTTCTATTAATAATGTTAGAATACTCCTTACAAACAGTCTTTTTAATCACAGCTTGTACATCCCCATGGAATTGCAAAATTAGGAAATAGTAGCCTATGGCCTATTTTGAAAATTAAATTCTCAGGTGATCAGATATACAATTAGTCACCAGTTCTATTTCCCTATTTCTCAGGAACAACTGCATTTGAAGAGCAATAATTTGTCTTTTACTGAAGGATTCTCTTATGCATGCTTGTATATTCATTTGAGTGACTGACAAGATAACTGCAAGAAAATATCTTGTAGAACATTATAGGTTTTTTAGTATTAAGAAGCAAATACATACCATGCCTAGAAGATGTAAGAACATAAGTAAGTTGTCAAGGCTGAATATGAAGCATGGTTTTTCACTCTAACCTTGAAGGAACTCATTTTATCCCCAATTGTCACTGTAGTAATAAAACTAAATTTTAATGCATTTCCTTCTGCTTTTTAAAAATCAAAGAGATAATTCTGAATTTGGGGAGGGCATAATGCACTGGCTTTCTTTGTGATAGAACAAAACTAAAGTAGTCCATTCTGTGCTCCCTACCACCACCAGATAGTGCCAAACAAGAGACTTTTTTTTTTTTTTTTTTTTTTAAAAAGCACAACTTTCAGTGAGAAGCACAGTAAGGAAGCAGGCTCCCATACAGCCTACTATAAAACATGCATCAGACTTTTACAGAAACTAGCTAGTCATCTTTCCCGTTTTTTCTCTTGGGAACTGATTTCTCCACAAACTCTCTCCTCTCCAAAGCCCTCCCCAAAAATCAGTTGTAACTATTTCTACGACAAGAAAAAGGTAGGATCTTCTTGCCAAATTAGGTCAAGATTTTGGCCTAACATCATCATAAGAGCATCATGGTCCAAATTCTGTGGCACACTGCACAGGAAGCATGCCAGCCCAGAACTCAGTATAAGGTTGAAATGAAAGATACCACCATAGCTTTCTCACAACAGTGTGGTGAAAAAAACCCAAGGAGTCATCTCTCTTCATCACTGTATTAAGATGGGAGAGAAAGAATGAATTGGTAACAAATTACCTCTTTTTCTTGTAAGTTGCTTAATTATAATGAACATGAAACAGAATATTTCTAAAAACTGTCTTGACTCAGTGATGTATTTCTTTAAAATCCTTGTTTAGTATTATTTTCATGGCCTACCTAGGTTTTGAAAGGATTTACCTGATTAACAGACAGTGGATGGAAGAGTTCACAGCTTTGCTGTTGCTAATATGGTTTGTTTTCTAAAAGGTTGAGTTAACAAGATAACTGAGTACCCATTTACCTAAAAGGTAAATATTCAAAACAGAAATATGTACAAGAAATGGGCACAAGTCACAAACTTCAGGCTGGTTTGCCCCCATCTCTCACACACACTTATCTGCAGGAAGACCATACGTTTTTCCTGTGCTCACGGCTTTTTCAGCTTCCCATCTTGTGGCCACTCTGGGAATTTAAAATTCCCACTAAGACTCCAAAGGTCTGGTCTTTTACACCACTTCAGTGCTCCCCTTAGCTGCTGCATCCTATTAATCTCACATGCATCCCATGGTTTAATATTGCAGTTCTCAAACCACTCAAAGAGGTTTTTTCAACTATTTAACAAACCCAGACACAAAAATCTCCAAATGGCACACGTCATTTTTAAGACATCAACTCATGAAATCCAGGGCAGTTGTGACAAAAATCCAGCCTTATCAAACAACCTTCTATTGCCCTACAAGTCCTGGTTGTATTTGTCTTATTTTTTTAATAATTAAATAAGCCCAGTCATTTTTTAAAAAAAGTTGTTTGGGAAGTATACATCAACAAGCAAGGTATCCACTCTCATGACTGCTTCTCAGTAGAGGTCAGTTATATTTGTAGCATTTCAGTAGTTTTCTTCATTAAGATTCAGTTATTTGTAGGTGTTGCCATGTTCGCTAAACAGGGTAAAGGTAAAATCATGCTGTACCAAAAGCCTGTTGACTCTAGACTGGGTGGCGGTGGTTCGTTTGTTTTTTTTAAAACTTTGTCCACTCAAGGGGAACAAGAGCAGATTAATAGCTACTGCATCGGTGTGAAAAGGGGACAAAGAGGTAGGTTTGCATGGCTCCAATGAATCTGGAAAGCCTGAATAAAAGGTTAGATGTTTGAGACATCATGAACAAAAATGATGAGGCAATCTCAGGGCAGGTGAGACAAACTAGCCTTATTCTGACTGGTGGAGACACTTTTTATGGTAGACACAAGGTTCTGATCTTGGAAATGCTAGAAGACATTAAAGTCCAAGATACAGAAAGGAGAAACGCAAGTGCACAATATTAGAATGGTGCAAGAACCAGTGACACCAGATTCTGGGGATATTTCTTGTTCTGGAAAATTAACAAATTTTCCCCCAGAACCAACTGATTTTACTTGAGCACCAGGAATGTCTTGGAGTAAAACCTACAAAAGACTGTCCTTGTAGTCTGAACATCTTAAAATATGTAATTGTATTCTCATGGTGGACAGAAATATGGTGAACTTTCAAAGGACCAAAACTGGATTTTCTCCCAGATATCCTCCCTCTCCCATTAAGTGGCACCAGGCCTTTGAAAAAGTCAAGCAGAATTTACATTAAATGGGTTTGGCACATGCTGTCTTATACCCGGCAAAGCTTAAATTGGAGTTTGCTGGATAGTTATATTTTCTCCTCACCAGAAGATGTTGAGGTCTTTGTGGATCAAAAGCGGAGAGATGCTGCTTCGGAGATGGTTGTCCCTGTGGATGAAGAGGATAATTCGGATGTACAGTAGCTGACTGAATGGACTGATGCTCAATTTAAAGTTCTTATTTCTTTGATGATGGAGCCCAATGAACAGTTATCTGAGATTATCCTTGTTCTGAGAACTTCAATGCTTGCCCAAGCAGGTGGTTGACAAAGGATGTATCTTTATATGACAAATTGTTGTGAGGAGGTTGTGGTGTGTATTTTAAGGTTATTCCCCGTTAAAAATCTCACTACATGAATATTTGTTTTTATTTCTGTCCTGCTTTTAAGCAGCTGGCTTGAACAACCATCCTCCCATTCAGTACAGCAGGTCTCTGAGTGCTCCAATGGTATATTTAAGATATTCATGTTGCTTGAGTCTATAGGACAGAAAGTTTTTTGCCCTGTGCCTGCCACATGGGTATATTATGCACTAGTAGACTCTGGGGGGATAATCTTAGCTTTAGGACCAGTGGCTAGTTTGTGAGTCTTTGTCTGAAGAGAGCATGGCAGAGATTCAGTAAAAACTACTGAAATTTATTTTTGTCCACATAAGGCAGTAAAACTGTGCCAACAAATCTCATCTGTAAAGTTTTCAAAGGAATCTTTACCTAAAGATTCTGCTTCCCAGGTGCTTTTATTTTTGTCAGCACTAGTCCTACAAAAGGACATTGGAGGTTACGTCAGGAAAACATTATCTACTGCATTATTACCTTCAAACTGTTATTGAGTATTTATTCTGTATATTAATCCTTCTGATACAATCATGCCTGATTTTTCTGATTACAAATAAGGGTTGTAGAAAGTATAAAAGTTTGAATAAAAATAAAATTGAAAAATAAATTAAAAAAACAAAGCATCTGACGCATGTTCAGAACTTCAGAAGCAAGTGTTCAACATACTTTACAAGCTTTAAGAAAATGTTTTATAGAAAGAAAAGGCATCTAAAAGTGATAACACTAATATGGTACCACTCACCAACACATTTTTCAGCTAGCTCCCCCAAGAAAGGATCTGACAGTTTGGGGTTCCAGTCCCTGGTATGAATTTGTAAAATGTGCTTTCTTGCCTGATAAAGAAGTAAGTATTTCAGCATTAGTAAGCAAAATCAGCAGTCAACAATAAATCAACATATTTCAAGCACTTAGGTCATATATTCAAGAGTCATTAATTATCCTAATTGTGTCAATACAATGTCACAAGAACATGTAGAAGGGTACAACACAAATTCTCAGAAGGAAAGGAAAAGTTCTGTGACATAGGAAATACCTGTGTGTGCTGACTCTTTTAGTGGCGACCACTATACTTCCAATTAAGATTTTCTGCCATTATAAAACGCCTCAGTACTTAATCTTTTACAATATGTGACAGGGTCGGGCCAGATGGCTACAGAAGTGATAGAAGGCAGATATATTAGCCCCAGGTTAAGTAGGTCCCTTTTCCCTGGGTAAGGTAACAGGGAAGGTTCCAGAACAATCGGGAACTTTCTGGAAACTTAAGGCAGATAGGCTGATTAGAACACCTGCAGCCAATCAAGAAGCTGCTAGAATCAATTAAGGCAGGTTAATCAGGGCACCTGGGTTTAAAAAGGAGCTCACTTCATTTTGTGGCATGCGTGTGAGGAGTTGGGAGCAAGAAGCTTAGAGTGAGAAGGCATACTACTAGAAGACTGAGAAATACAAGCAATATCAGACATCAGGAGGAAGGTTCTGAGGCGAGAAAATCTGCCAATAAGCGAAGGACCCACCAAGGCAGAGGAGGAACTTTGTCACAAAAGACAGTTTATTATTACATAAAAATTCCATGAGTATTACACGAAACCAATCTAATAGATTCAAACTTGATTTTAACAGCCTACACATTAAATCCAATATCAAAGATATATTAATGCAACATGTGATTGAGATTACATGAAACCAATCTAATAGATTCAAACTTGATTTTAACAGCCTACACATTAAATCCAATATCAAAGATACATTAATGCAACATGTGGTTGAGAATATAAAATACTCGAACTAAGAAGCGTAAAAATATGTTCACACTGCAATTACAACAACTCCTGTTTTGTACATGTGCAATTTTCATTATGATGCAGACAGCTAAATGTATTTCTTCACATATATATATATATATATATATAGTTATCTATTTATATTATCATAGCACTCAGAAGCCTCAATATGGATTGGGGCTTCACTGGGCTAGGCATTGTACAAACCCATACAGAGATGAAGTCCTTTCGCCACACAGCTTACAGTGTAATGTGATCAAATTACAACTGCAGTAGGAACCCTTCTGAATTTCCTGGAGTGTGTGCTTAAATTCACAGTTATAATGTTGCATAAATGTTGATTTTTTTATACAATTCCTTTTTTAAAAAAAGATAAGCGCTGATACGCAAACACAGTATTTATTTATTTCACTATTCAGTATTATTACATTCCAGACATGCAGAATTTCAATATATCTGTAGGCCTGGAGGTTTGCAGCTAGGATTACTGAAATGACTTTAAAGTAATTTGCAAATAACAAAATGGTTTTCTGTACTTCAACATGTGATGGATGCCCCCACTAACTAAGTGAAGAGGGGCTTTCAAAACTTAATTCACCAATGCTTACCTTTTTTACTCTTGAGTCCCCAAAAGTCATGAGTCACCAGCTCCACTATGATGCCCCTCACTCAGAGCAGAACTACCAAAGAGCTTCAGTGGAGAATGAAGCCAGCCCAGAGAAGGATCAGTTAAGGTCTCCAATTTTTCACTTCTAAAAATACATTGCATGGCTTTGGAAAAGTGGGGCATGGGGCTTTATCCTGTCCCTTTTCTGGGCCAGCTCCACACCTCAGTGAGATTACAGTAGCTATGATGTCACAGCACAGAGCACACTGACTAGGGCAGTGGTTTTCAACCAGGGGTAGGTGTACCTCTGGGGGTATTCGGAGGTCTTCCAGGGGTACAACTAATCTAGATAGTTGTCTAGTTTTACAACAGGCTACATAAAAAGCACTAGTGAAGTCAGTAAAACTAAAATTTCATATGACTTGTTTATACTGCTCTAAATATTATACACTAAAATGTAAGTACAATATTTATATTCCAGTTGATTTTATAATTATATAGTAAAATGAGAAAGTAAACAATTTTTCAGTAAGTGTGCTGTGACACTTTTGTATTTTTATGTTTGATTTTATAAGCAAGTAGTTTTTAAGTGAGGTGAAACTTGTGGATACGCAAGACAAATCAGACTCCTGAAAGGGGTACAATAGTCTGGAAACGTTGAGAGCCACTAGACTAGGCCAGACTATGAGCTGGCAAACAGACTTCAAGGGACTTAAAAGAAAAAGGGGGAAGTGGCTAGCAGTTTTTGCACTGAGGAATCCTCTTTGTTTAGCTAGTGGGCATTTCTATTTTTCCAATTTGATTCTATTTGGAAACTGTGTCTTAGAATGGCTTAGTAAAATATTAAACACTTGTGTATAAGAGCCCCAGAGGAGCAACAGAGACAGTTTTAAAAATCCCTCACTACTAGCAAACTGTAACACAATTACTTGCTCTTGCAGATTTCAAGAATTCTGAGCTTTGCATCCAGTTCCATGCTACTTCTGTCAAAATGGACGAAACCATAACCATAATAGAATCAGAAAATTAGTCAAGTGTTAATATTTGCACAGTACTTTGAAGATATAACACTGTGCAAATTGCTATGTATTATCAACTTGCTAAATTCTCAAAATGTTTTATTTTGTGATGAAATTTCTCATGTTTACTCTCAGATGAAAGTTGACACTTCCAGTGAGGAGTCTGAGGTAGAGGAAGATTTGTACTTTGTTGCTATGGTTTGCCTGGAGACAGTCTTCCACAAACCTGAGACAACAGGAAAGAGGGTCTACTCAGTTTGCTGTTATAGATTGTTTTGGAGAAATGTCAACAAATTTAGCTGAGCTGTTTGAGTTGTGAGAGTAAAGGAAAAAAATATATATGTCCTATCTGAGCGCCATTAAAATGCCTTTTTTTGCTTGAATGACTTTTAAAACATTTTTTAAACTTTAAATGTACTATAAACTGAGTTTTTCAAAGAGGGTAAGTGCCTTTGAGATGTCTAAAGAATTCTAGTTTCCAAATTAAAAATAAATAATAAATAAAAACCACACTAAAAGAAAAAAAAAAAAGACTAGCAATGGACAAATTATTACCATTTTCAAAACATACCAAATGCTATTTGATAGAGATCTGTATTGAATATGTGGATCTTCAGAGATACCAACTTACTTCACTCTAGAAATGTTTACATTATCCTTTTGTAACTTTTACCTTTTGATCAGGCAAGTTGAAAAGAAATTCCCTGTCAAAACGACCAGGTCTCCTGAGTGCAGGGTCTATAGATTCAAGTCTGTTTGTAGCACCAATTACGACAATTTCTCCTCTATTATCCAGTCCATCCATGAGGGCAAGTAGGGTAGACACTATAGAGCTAGAAGAAAGTTTTCAAAAACAATTTTTTGTAAATATTATCAAGGTCTCCTACATAACTTAGACAGCCCTGATGGCCTATTAAGTTAGGCCAGCCTTCTTAGGCTGCCCTATGGGTCATAGCATTATCCAGTATTGCTGCTGACAGGGTTTGCAAGGTGGTCTTGAAAAGGCATTGCAGGGGCAGGAGTAATCATTCCTTAGTCATAAAATGAGCTTTTAGTGACCCTTTACACCATATTGGCTCTTTCACTTGGTGTAAAAGTGCCAGAGAAGAGGCAAGGATCTAACCCAAGAAATAATCCAAATTAAGCTTTTAAAAAAGCTACTTTAAATTTACCAAAATAAAAACATAATCCACAGTAGTATATTAAAAACCATTACCTGTGAATCTGGTCTTGTCTACTAGAACGAACTGGGGCCAAACCATCTATTTCATCAAAGAAGATTATAGAGGGTCTCATCAAGTATGCCTGGTGTACAGAAACAGGAATGGATATTAGTTGTTAATTCAAATTCCTTCTGCAATGGAGTAAAAACAAATTCTCTTCACTATGTGCTGGTATCAATTCCACAGGCTGTACATTAAAAGCTTGCACTGGGATGCTTTTTCAAACCCAGTCCTGAGAATAAATCTGAAGTTTAACAACTAAGTTGTAATATTAAAACAAAGCAAAAAAAGTTAGACTGTATTTTCCTTTAACTAAGGAAGATAGCACCAGTGCCACAGTGCACTCTCGAACAATCCCAAAGAGGGTGGCACTGATTCCTAATGTGAAAATCCTGTCTTTAGATGACTGAATTCTCAATGCCTGGAGCAATGCAGATCACATTTTTTAATTGTTTTAAATGTTTATTTTTTATTTTTTTGTTTTGTTTTTTAGAATATAAAATTGCAGTAAATACCCATAACAAAGAAAAAGGTATAATACTGAGGTAAAATATCAGAACAATGAAATCAAGGGACAAAGAAGCACAGGAGAAAAAAATGGCATTGTGGGATTAAACTACATTCTTGTAAAACAAGAATATGACCCCCAGATACATTCACTTAACTTGTGATATACATTTCTTCCTCTCATACAAAGCTGTTTCTGTTAATGTTGTAACCCATTTTCTTACGCTGGATTCTGAGCCTCAATTCCAGTATCTCAATTACTCTTGCAATCATAATATTTATTTAACCTATACTAGACACTCTAGATTACTCTTCTATTACTTTATAGGTGTAATAAACACAATCAGTTTCTTGTCATGCTTTAGTTAGTTGCTGTGTTTGTAGATGCTCCTTATGATTTTAAAAATCTAAAGATATAAAAACAAGTTCAGAAATGGGCATTTTATGTCCAGGAATGTGGCCTTTTCTCCCTAAGAAAATAAGTAAACGGAATAATTTTTGTTTTGCTTTACAGCCAGCCTTTAAGTAAAGAAAGGGTACTTTTGACTTTTTTTCTTCAAATAGTCGAACATTTCTAAAATATATACTTATAGACTCCACTTGAGCAAGAGTATTTCCAACATAGTTACCTGACAGTTAAGCATTACATTTAAAAAAAAAAAAACCCAAAAAACAGAATTCAGAGAGAAAATTAAAAGCAAGAAAAAAAGCATCGGGGTTTAGATTTATTATGAACTGGGAAAACTTTTGGGATGGGGGAGCCTATATAGGAAGGATGGGCTCCACCTAAACCAAAGTGGATCCAGACTGCTGGCACTTAACATTAAAAAGGTTGCAGAGAAGTTTTTAAACTAAGAGATGGGGGAAAGCAGATTGCTGCAGAGGCGCATGTGGATCGGACAGATACTTCTCTTAGAGGAGAGTCTATTGGTAGAGATTCTCTAGGTTTTATAGTCAGGAGAAGAGGATGGAAGAGGATAAAGGATAGGCCAGATCAGATGAGAAACATTCACACAAGGAATCTGACACATCAGAAAAGGGCAGACAAATAAACAGTGACAAGTTTTTAAAGTGCTTGTGTTCAAATGCTCGGAGTCTAAATAATAAGATGGGTGAACTAGAGTGCCTTGTGTTAAAGGAGGATATGGATATAATAGCATCACAGAAACCTGGTGGAGTGAGGACAATCAATGGAACACAATCATTTCAGGGTACAAAATATATCGGAAGGATAGAACAGGTCGTGCGAGGGAAAGGGGGGCACTATATGTGAAAGAAAATGCAGATCAAATGAAATTAAAATCTTAAATAAATCCACATGTTCCATAGAATCTCTATGGATAGTGTGGCAGAGCTCCGACCTTGTCCCCGTGGGTCCTGTGCTTCCAGGCAGTTTATGCTAGCTTCAGAGGCTCACTGCAACCCTCCATGTAACCCTTCTCTTTCTAGGGCCAGGGATACAGTCTACTGAGCCCTTTTCATCGTAAGCCAGCAAGGAGGTTGGTGAGATAACTCCCACAGTCTCTGTTGCTCCTACGGCCTCATACCAAAACAGTTTAGCCTCCTGTCCTGATAGGGACCTGTTTTCCCCTCCCAGGAGGTGTTTCTGTAGTGGTGGGTTGGGGGGAACCCGGGCCCGCCCTCTATTCCGAGTTCCGGCCCAGGGACCCTAATGGTAGCAGCTGTTGGCAGCCAACCTTTCACTGCCAGAGTTGCTGCATTTCCCTGGGCCACTTCCCCACAGCTCTCCTGCTTCTCCCTTCTTCACCCTTACCTTAGGGCTCCCTTACCAATGACTTGAGGGTGTCTTCATTAACCAGCCGTTCAGCCGCACTTCCTCTCCTCTGGCTCCCTGGCTCTCCTCTGCCTGACTGGGAGTGAGCCCTTTTATAGTATTAGAGGGGCCTTAATTAGAGTCGGGTGGTCACATTAGCTTAATGGCCTCACCTAACTCTTTGCAGGTTAATTGGAGTCAGGTGTTCTCATTAGCCTGGATCAGCTCCTGCTCTGGTCAGTCAGGGAACAGAAAACTTAATTCAATGGCCAGTATATCTGCCTTCTGCTACTCTGCTGTACCCAATTGGCCTGGGTCTATCACAACAGTAATTCCATGCTCAAATAAGAATATAACAGTAGGGATCTATTATCGACCACCTGACCAGGACAGTGATAGTGATGACAATGAAATGCTAAGGGAGATTAGAGAGGCTATCAAAATAAAGAACTCAATAATAGTGGGGGATTTCAATTATCCCCATATTGACTGGGCACATGTCACCTGAGGACGAAATGCAGAGACAAAATTTCTCGATACTTTAAATGACTGCTTCTTGGAGCAGCTGGTACAGGAACCCACAAGGCAACTCTCGATCTAGTCCTGCGTGGAGTGCAGGATCTGGCCCAAGAGGTAACTATAACAGGACCGCTTGGAAATAGTGACCATAACAACATAACATTTCACATTCCTGTGGTGGGAAGAACACCTCAACAGCCCAACACTGTGGCATTTAATTTCAGAAAGGGGAACTATGCAAAAATGAGGTTATTTAAACAGAAATTAAAAGGTACAGTGACTAGAGTGAAATCCCTGCAAGCTCCATGGACTCTTTTCAAAGACACCATAATAGAGGCTCAACTTAAATGTATACCCCAAATTAAAAAACATAGTAAAAGAACTGAAAAAGAGCCACCATGGCTTAACAACCATGTAAAAGAAGTAGTGAGAGATAAAAAGGCATCTTCTAAAAAGTAGAAGTCAAATCCTAGTGAGGTAAATAAAAAGGAGCATAAACACTGCCAAATTAAATGTAAAAATGTCATAAGAAAAGCCAAAAAGGAGTTTGAAGAACAGCTAGTCAAAAAGTCAAAAGGTAATAACAAAATGTTTTTTAAGTACATCAGAAGCAGGAAGCCTGCTAAACAACCAGTGGGGCCCCTGGACGATCGGGATACAAAAGAAGCACTTAGATGATAAAGTCATCTCAGAGAAACTAAATGAATTCTTTGCTTCAGTTTTCACGGCTGAGGATGTTAGGGAGATTCCCAAACCTGAGCGTCTTTTGTAGGTGACAAATCTGAGGAATTGTCACAGATTGAAGTGTCACTAGAGGAGGTTTTGGAATTAATTGAGAAACTTAACAGTAACAAGTCACTGGGACTAGATGGCATTCACTCAAGAGTTCTGAAAGAACTCAAATGTGAAATTGCAGAATTATTAACTATGGTTTGTAACCGGTCCTTTAAATCAGCTTCTCTACCCAATGACTGGAAGATAGCTAACGTAATGCCAATATTTAAGGAGGGCTCTAGAGGTGATCCTGGCAATTACAGACCGGCAAGTCTAACATCAGTACCGGGCAAATTAGTTGAAACAACAGTAAAGAATAAAATTGTCAGACACATAGAAGAATGTAAATTTTTGCGCAAAAGTCAACATGGCTTCTGTAAAGGGAGATCATGTCTTACTAATCTATTAGAGTTCTTTGAGGGGGGTCAACAAACATGTGGACAAGGGGGATCCAGTGGACATAGTGTACTTAGATTTCCAGAAAGCCTTTGACAAGGTCCCTCACCAAAGGCTCTTTTGTAAATTAAGTTGTCATGGGATCCCTTCATGGATTGAGAAGAAGTGGTTAAAGACAGGGAACAAAGGGCAGGAATAAATGGTAAATTTTCAGAATGGAGAGGGGTAACTAGTGGCGTTCCCCAAGGGTCAGTCCTAGGACGTATCCTATTCAACTTATTCATAAATGATCTGGAGAAAGGGGTAAACACTGAGGTGGCAAAGTTTGTAGCTGATACTAAACTGCTCAAGATAGTTAAGACCAAAGCAGACTGTGAAGAACTTCAAAAAGATCTCACACAACTAAGTGATTGAGGAACAAAATGGCAAATGAAATTTAATGGGGATAAATGTAAAGTAATGCACATTGAGAAAAATAACCCTAACTATACATACAATATGATGGGGGCTAATTTAGCTACAACTAATCAGGAGAAAGATCTTGGAGTCATCGTGGATAGTTCTCTGAAGACATCCACGCAGTGTGCAGCGGCAGTCAAAAAAGCAGATGGGATGTTAGGAATCATTTAAAAAGAGATAGAGAATAAGACGGAGAATATCTTATTGCCCTTATGTAAATCCATGGTACGCCCACATCTTGAATACTACATACAGATGTGGTCCCCTCATCTCAAAAAAAGATATACTGTCTTTAGAAAAGGTTCAGAAAAGGGCAACTAAAATGATTAGGGGTTTGGAATGGGTCCCATATGAGGAGAGATTAAAGAGGCTAGGATTTTTCAGCTTGGAAAAGAGGAGACTAAGGGGGGATATGACAGAGGTATATAAAATCATGAGTCGTGTGGAGAAAGTGAATAAGGAAAAGTTATTTACTTGTTCCCATAATATAAGAACTAGGGGCCACCAATGAAATAATGGGCAGCAGGTTTAAAACAAATAAAAGGAAGTTCTTTTTCACACAGCACACAGTCAACCTGTGGAACTCCTTGCCTGAGGAGGTTGTGAAGGCTAGGACTATAACAGGGTTTAAAAGAGAACTGGATAAATTCATGGAGGTTAAGTCCATTAATGGCTATTAGCCAGGATGGGTAAGGAATGGTGTCCCTCGCCTCTGTTTGTCAGAGGATGGAGATGGATGGCAGGAGAGAGATCACTTGATCTTTACCTGTTAGGTTCACTCCCTCTGGGGCACCTGGCATTGGCCACTTTCGGTAGACAGGATACTGGGCTGGATGGACCTTTGGTCTGACCCAGTATGGCCATTCTTATGTTCATTGTTTTTGCCTTTAATGCTCTTCTATGAGTCATGAAGACAGCCTCCACAATTTGGTTTTCTGCTTGTGTTTTATATTAGAAATACAGGGTGAAATTTTCAAAAGCCCTCAGAATTGGCCTAATACTGGAGCTATGCCAGTGCTGATCACTTTTGAAAATCCTCACTGAAAGCCCACATTTCTCTCTTCTTGCTCAAGTACTAGGGAAAACTTTGGAGGAATTGGAATGTGACTTTACATCAGACAAACCTGAGTTTCAGTGCCACTAGCCCTGAACTTCTGAGAGAAGGAATATGAACAACCAATAACATCCCTACGTCCTCCTTCCGGACCTGGGAAAGCTGCATCTTTCATCCTTCTGTGATACCATATTCCCATTTTTAACAAGAATGGCAAATCCTCCAAGAATAGAAAGTTTTAAGATCAGACTTGATGTTTCTAATGTAAAAAAAAAAGCAAAATATTTTTAAAAGCTCTGAAGTGATGAAGAAGGGCATAATTTTTTGTTTTGCTTTGCAGCCAGACTAAGTAAAAAAGGTACTTCCTGATTTTCCACTAGCAACTCTTACTGTCTGAAGTCTTTCCCCCCCATCACAGCCTTACCTGGAAAATATTAAGAAGTTACAAGTCGAAGTCTCTTAATTATAGGAAGCATCACATTTTTCTACAGTATTATATTTGTTTAAACTAAGTACCTATATCTGAAACCTGCATTTGTGCAAGAGATTGGATTCCACTGTTTTACCTGAATCTCTCCCCACTCTATCATCCTCTCTAGCCGAATGAGTAAAGGATTGGTCATACTAAAAAGTGTCTGAAGCATACTCTCAAAGATACAATTCTGAAATCAATTTTTACCATAGTATATGCCCTGAATATGCCAGCCAGACACCAGGTCAAATCATTCTGTTGCAATTTCTACCCACAATCACCATGCCAACTATGCTACTAGTAGTCCTGGACAGGTCTGGAAGCTCCCTCTTACATTGTTTTTTTAATATATCCTGATTGATAACACCTAGATACAATGCAATACAATTTCATCACTGTTCCTCTACATTTTCATCTAAATTTAAAACTCTAACAAATACTTCCCCCTGTACTGTAACTTATATAAAAGTTTCCTTTTATCCAAAGACAATTTTGGCTGCATGAAACACATTGCAATGAAAAATATTATACAGAAAAAAAATATATCAAAAGTATCTGAACATCTTCTAACCTGATCGAAGAGGAGACGAAGTTGCCTTTCAGATTCACCAACCCACTTGCTGAGACAGTCTGCTCCTTTTCTCATAAAGAAAGCCACCTTTTTGTCTCCTTGACTGCATTCATTAGCTAGAGCTCTAGCTACCAAGGTTTTACCTGTTCCAGGAGGACCATAGAACAAACAGCCCCTGAAGATAAATGGATCAATATTATGGTCACAAAATTTATTTTATGTCTCTTGTAAAACTTCAAGATAGGGAGCCCAGAGAAGAAAAAAAAGACTAATCTTTTCATCATTACTTGGCACATTTAAGTTGATCTTAGATTTTGTAAGATGCCACAAACTAAAAGAAATGAAAAACTATTAAGCTGAGTCTTGTATTTTGTATTATTAGTTTTTTCTTCCTCATTTAAAATTTTGTGCTACATCAGAATTTAAATTTGTTTCCGCATACATGTTTCATAACATGAAACGTGCAAGTTTTGTTTCATTCTTTCAAATTATTACATATTTGCTTTGTACAGCACACAGTAAACCGGTGGATATTAAGAATCTAAAGGGTTATTTTATATCAGGTAGATACTTCAAATGTTAAACCTGCAAAAACACCAGAGCTAGTTCACTGATATTTGCTTACACAGAAGTAGATTCTAATGCTAGTTTCTTAAAATTAAAAAAGTCTTTAATCAAATTCCCAATTCACAAAGTTTCCACATATCTTTTTAAGCTCCTCAAATGCCTGTCCATAAGGATTAAAACCAGAATACAAATGTTATTTAAAGATTGCTTCCATAAAAGAAACACTGACATTCAATTTGACTTTAAATAAACCCACCAATTTTCATTACACTAAAAACAAAAGAATGCAGCTGGCTTAATCATATTGGGGGGGAGGTTCTTTAATTTTTGTTTTTACATGAACCTCAATATTTTTAATAGCCTTCTTATAAAGCATGTATGCTCCTTTCATATCCTCAAGAGATCACTTTTCTTCTTTACAAATAAGTTTTGACTAATGCCAGCATGACAGGAACAATACAGCTAGGGATTCCAGTCTGCTTTGTACAACAACATTGTCAATTAAGTTCTATTCGCAGAAAAACATTTATACTACCTGCTAATTTTTTTATTCTGCAACTTGGTTAAGTCAGAACAGTGTCTTTCACTTAAGACTCTCAGGCAAGAGGCAATTAATCATTCAAAAAATGTTCATGTTCTCCAACTGGTTCCTCCCACTGGTTTCCCCTACCCAGTTGAATCCTTCAATAGCAGGATGTCTGTTTTGGGACTTGGTTAAACCAGCACAAAATTAGTAACAAAAACAGTTTGTGTGACTTGGCTGCCTCAAGTTCATTGAAAACCTGCTGGCAAAATCATCTCTTGCCCATTGCTTCAACACTTATCTGGCCATCAGTCATATCTCAGACTCTATTCCACTGTGCATTAAACTTACTGTCCTTGTTTCAAGGCCCTGTATCACACACAGCCTTGATTAATTTTCTGATCTGGTCTCTTCTAGTGTCCCCTCAACCCTGCTCTGTCAATAACACCAGTTCAATAACTCTTTTGTCTTCTTTTTCCAGAATTGTCTCCATGCCATCATGCTGCTGATTATGACTGGAAACATGCTTCCAAAATTAATGTCAAAGCTCCAACCTTCACCTCATTGAAAAAAAAAAAAAGTTCACTTCTGCAGCAGCCTGCAAAAAAATATTTCTCTAATTAAACCACAAAGATACACCTGCCTCCTACAAGTAAAAGAGATCATCTATTTCTGTAATCCACGTCTTCTTTCCTCTCTAATCCTGGTGTATAGTATAATCCTCACTTGTCTATCCATCTTTTGTCCTTGTGTGCTCTTCAGAGAAAGGACCAGTCTTCTACATGTTATCCTATTAAGTACTTTTGGGGGGTGCAATAAAAAAAAAACAACCCAGCAACGAAGAATAAAACCACCTACCTTGGTGGCTGAATTTTGAATTTTTCAAAGATTTCTGGATAGAGAAGAGGAAACACTACCATTTCCTTTAATGCATGGATATGGTGGCTCAATCCACCTATGCTATCAAAACGCACCTAAGAAAACACAAAACATGTAAAGCAACAACTTTCCAAAATAGAACTTTTTATTTTTAACGTAGCATATATGCAATAACGTATGTAACTAAAGCAGTAAAGTTTTCCCAAACTTAAAAATTCAAGTAAGAATCCACTGACTTTCAGAAATGCAATTATGTTTAGAGAGAACCAGCAGAAGAAAAATATATTGTGAATATGATCTGTTTGCTTCTTTATGATGCATTTCACCAGAGAATTACACACAGACCAAAAGCAAGTGCTTTCTGGCCCAAAATTGGTGAGTGGACAACACTTGGTGAACAGACAGACTAGTTAACAGCAACACACTGAGAGTTTATTTTGCATGCACTTCAACTCTGATTTTCACAAAGCTGCCAATTAGGGTTTCTGATGAATCTTCATTATCTTAAATGCATAATTATAGAAAAGGAACAAGTCTTAACAAAATTTACCGATTTGTCAAGAATCATTGGATCTACATCTGCCAAACTTGCACCAACTTTTACTCGTTCTCGCAGGATTCCACTGGCTAAGTCTTCTGCTCTGAAATTCATAGGCAGACATCTGTTCGACAAAAGCAAGCAATTTAGGTTGATGTTGAATACATCAGCAACAAAACAAGTAAAGATGGCTGTAACTGTCAGAACTAGAAGATTAAGATACTAGTGTAGCTATCCCTCTCAAGCAAAATCAACATTAAGCTAAACAAGTTTGTTCCTGTCCCCTTCAACTTGACCCAACATATTTAAGATTATGATTCTTAAAACTACAAAGCAATTTTCAGTAACAGTGGTGAAATTCATTGGGTTAAGATAACATGAATGAAAAAGAAAGAACAAAAGTAGACACTCTCCGATGGATCACCAAGAATGAAGAAGAGTGAAAAAAACCATACATTCCAGGGCTGTCAAGATAATCAAAATTAAAGAGGACTAGAATGACCAAGATACTGTTCTTTAGTAATGACAGCCTGATGTACAAAGAGGTTCCTAAAATACAATGAAGATAACTTTATGATTCAAGAAGCAGAACCCAACCACAAAAGCTGTACTAAGATATATTTCTTAACCAACAAACACTACCCAACCCAACCAGGTGAAAACATGAAAAAAAGGAGAGCCTTACAATAAAGCAATCACAACTACTTAAATTTAGAGTGGTAAGGAAAGGGTTCACAGAAAGCAACAGTCAAGAAAAACATATCTTGAAGAATTAATAAAACTAATTAATCCCCAATGAGAGGAAATCTGACCTACAAAGATTATTTTAACTTTTGCATGCTTGTTTAACTTCTTTATGAAGTATAAAGAAGCCCTAAAAACCTTATCATCTAAGGAGATATGATGATATGAGGAAGAATACAAACACAGAGGGAACAGATTGGGAGCCAGGAGGACAAAGGTTATTAATATAAGACAAAGTGCTCTTAAGCGATTGTGCACCTTTTTTTTTTTTTTTTTTTAAGACATTCCGGTTCTTAAAGGTTTTGTTCATTTTTTTTTTAATGGTTTCAAGGTTCTTCAGGATGGAAGAGGGAGAGAAAGGAATGGCATGGTGGTGAGAAGAGGATAACAATGATCAGCAGAAGGAAGAGGAGATGGAGACAGAGAGCTTTGCTTACACAGTTTTTGTACTCATATAGTTAAAGCAGCACAACCCTCTAGCATCAGCAGAATTATATCAATATTTAGGTGTTTATCTTGGTATTACTTATAGAGATCCAAGAATTGTAGTGGGGATCTGTGCTGAGAAGGAGAGGAAGGGAGGAGACAGGGGAGAGAGAGAGGGGGGAGATGTAGGAATGAATGAGGGAAAGCTAGATGGGAGAGGAGCGTGGAAGGTGAGCTGGAACTACAGGGGAGGGAGAGTATTGTATTGGTAGGCGAAGCTGCCAGACTGGAATGCAAGCAGAAATCTGAAGAATATGACACAAGAAAGGTTTGGTTGGCACCCAATGTCACGGATGGAAAAGACCTCCATGGGGATGGGGCTTTAAGACAACTCCCAGAACTCATACTGCTTGTCTACAGTCTACAGAAGTATAAGCAACAAAGAGGGTCTTGGAGCCCCAGACAGCCCCCCAGTCTAGTAACAGGACCTTTTCAGCCCCATCTGATAAAATGAGGAATTTGTTATTTCTGTGTTAAGTTATCACCATTGTACCTTTTACATCTTAGATTAGGGGTGGCCAACCTGAGCCTGAGAAAGAGCCAGAATTTACCAATGTACATTGCCAAAGAGCCACAGTAATATGTCAGCAGCCCCCCCATCAGCTCCCACCGCCTTCCACCCACCGGCAGCCCCACTGATCAGCGCCTTTCCCTCCCTCCCCACACCTCCTGATCAGCTGTTTCATGCCATGTAGGAGACTCTGGTGGGGAGGAGCGAGGGCACGGCAGGCTCAGGGGAGGGGGCGGGGCCTGTGGCAGAGCCAGGGGTTGATCAGTGAGCACTTCAGTATTATATTGCATTATTTGTTCAGTAATATATTTGTATATTTTATATATATATTCTATTTTAATATTTGTTCAGTAACTAAAACAAGCCCCCCTCATTCTTCTGTTGTAAGTTAAATTTATTGAAGCTTCACAAGTAAGAGGAAACTTTTCTAAATAGTTTTCTGAATCAAACTATCACTTTTCACACTAACTAGACTATTACACCATAATTCTGCTTTTTCCTGCCATGCCCATATAAACTGGCCCTCCCAAAGACTCAGCAAGTTGTGATACCTGTTCCTTGCTCTGGCCATGCTCTTAGACTTTCTCCTTTCAAAGCGTTCTTCATCTGAAGAGGTTGTATCACTGCTATGAATGGCATGTTTCTTTCTCCTATTTAAAGAGCAAATAAACATGCAGCTAATAATGCATTTCACTTTTTTTAAAAAAAAATGTTAAAACAAAATAAAAAGGATGTATGTAACAACACCATTCAAGTCTAGCAGACATTTTAGCAACTTCTTGTTCCGTAAATAGTTGGCATGTCAAAACAGTCAGAGTGAAATTTCTGTCTTCTTATATTGTTCCACAGATGTCTGATTCCAACTTGAACATTTCTGAGAGGGAAGAAAGCCCTAGGGACATGTGGCTCATTGCACATCACCAAAATGGAAAAAAGTGAGCGATAATATCAAACATTTTCAGAGTTTAAGGTTTCTAATGGACCTGTCATCTGATAAAACCTCCGAGCTACATCACTCATCTCTCTCTAAAGCTAATAGAACACGAACATCAAGAGTATAATATCTTATCTATTTAAATTCCTTCTTTTTAAATTGCAGAGTTCTTATAAGTCTTATAGACCGTTTCTTTTTCTAAATGCTTTTCATAGTGAATAATAAAATATTTTTAGAAATTGTTTATATTGTACTTGCAATTCCGAAGTAAGGAAAAATAAAATGGGCAATACAGGTTATTGCTCAAAATCCATACAGGTAACTTCTCTTCATTTGAGTACAGTAACCTAGAGAAAACTCTTTGAAAAGACTGTATTAGACCCTAGACAGAAACATATAAAAACAGACAAATGCAGTTTGAATTTAGGCTGCTAAAAAAAGCTGTTTCATTTATATTTGTGTGAAGTAACAGGAGCATCTGGCTGCCAGACAGAGTAGCCAGAGACGTAATTGCCAAGGATCTTTCAGTGGATATAGAGTTCCATCACCTACATGAATGTGATAACTGCATTTTTTTCAGCTATTCTAGCTGAGACACAAATAAAGCCAGCCAAATTCAACAATCTGACCACCAAGAGAAATCAGACAGGAAAGTATGTCACTATGGCCGTTTTTATGGAAGACTCTACAACAGCATTAAACAGGATAAAATGGAAAGGCAAAGTAGACCAGATAAAGTTGCAGGGAGGCAGTGATCACTGTCTTTGGGATCCCTGCCATAAATTTGGAATCTAAGAGATATTACTACCATCTTAAAGAGGACTATGGCTTAAATACGTAATGCCTCCAACCTGTCTTTTTTCTTACAGACACAAGGAAAGTACAGAGAAGAAACGGTTACTTATCCTGGGCAGTAACAGCAGTTCTTCGAGATGTCTCTCTCTACGGGTGCTCCACGCTAGGTGTGCTAGCGCCCCTGCGCCTTTGATTGGAGATTTCTCATAGAAGAGTTTGTTCGGCCTGCACATACATGCTAGGCAGCCTCATGCCCCCTGCCGTTGTTACACAGCACGGCCCGGGCAAACCAACCTCAGATCCTTCTCTACCGCAAGGCTCCATAGCAGAGAGGAAGAAGGATGGGTTGTGGAGCACCACCAAGAACACATCTTGATGAACCAGTTACTGTACAGGGTGAGTAACCATTTATTTGAGTAGTATCCCTACGGGTGCTCCACTCTAGTGACTACCAAGCAATTCCCTTTAAGGCAGGGGCAGCTTTGGTGTCGAGTCCAGTGCCAAAGAAACTACAGCCTAGCCAAACATAGTAGCAGCAGTGTCACAAGTTATAGCAGTGTTCGGCAAACATATGTGTAGACACCGAAGTAGTAGCCTCACATACCTCAATATGGGAATATTCTTGAGGAATGCCACAGAGATGGAAATGCACCTTGTAGAAGGAGTACATATATTCAAAGGTGTTTGAATATCGCAACATTTGTACCTAGACTTAATGGGAGCCAGATACCCACTTGGAAAGTTTTTTATTAGAGATTGCAGACCCTTCTGACTTATCTGCTAGTAAGACAAACTATCTGTGGGTCTTTCTGAAGAGCTTTGTCCTATCCAAACAGAAGGCAAGGGCTCCCCTGATGTCCAGGATGTGCAGCAGTGCCTCCTGGTTATCTAGATGTGATTTGGGGTGGAAGACTGGAAGGTGAATCAGTTGGTTAATATGAAACTCAGAAGAAACTTTAGGTAAAAATTTGGGATGGAGTTGCAGCGTGATCTTGTCCTTAAAAAAATACTGTAAAAGGGGGCATGTTATCAGAGCCCCTATTTCCCCAACCTGTCATGTCAATAAGAAAAGGAGTACTTGTGGCACCTTAGAGACTAACCAATTTATTTGAGCATGAGCTTTCGTGAGCTACAGCTCACTTCATCAGATGTATGTCAATGTGATGGATATCAGGAATGCCTTCTTCACTAATGAACAGAGCAGTGAGCAGGTAGCCATCAGCTCAAACAGTAGTCTTCTGAGGCATTTATGGACCAGAATGAGGTCCCAATCAGGAGCTGGACTGGTGGATAGAGATTTCCAAGTCCCCTGAGGAATCTCGCTGATGTTTGGTGGCAAAAATGGTGGCGCGGAGGGGGGGAGGGGGGAGAATGAAAAGCAGTGATGGCTACCAGGTAGGCTCTTATGGGGCTCATCAATAGTCCTGACCTTTTTAGAGTCAGGATGTAGTCCAGTATATCTTGCAGTAATGAGGTCATATCAACAGACAAATCTTGTCCATTTTTGAGAGTGCATAGCAAGTAGACTGTTACCTGCTCAGAGTAAGTAAAAAGAGTACTACTACAAAGCAGGAAAGTCTCTAATCCTGTGAATCATCAACGAACCATGTTTTGAGAAGAAGCACTGTGATATTGAGGTGAAGGATCTTCCCGCCTTCCTGGGAGAGGAAATGAGGCGCAGCATGAAGAGTGATTGGTGACCAAACAGCCAGCTGTACAAGGTAAGGAAACCACATTTGTCTGGGCCAAGTCATAACTATTTGGATGACTCTGGCTTTGTCTCTTTTATTTTGAGCATAACTTTGGCTTTTAGAGGAGATGGTGGGAACGCACACAGGCGAGTTGACGACCAATAAAGGTGAAAATCATCCCACAAGGACTGGTGACCCAGTCCGCCTCTTGAGCAAAACTGGGTACATGTCTTGTTTAACTCTGTGGAGAACAAGTCTATCTGAGGGGTGCCCCATTGATGGAATATGTGGTGTAATATGCTGGGGTCTATTTCCCACTCATGGTCTTGAAAGAATGCTAAGTGCATCCACGGTCACATTCTCAACCCCTGCGAGATAGGCCACTGTGATGATGATCTGGTTGCATATGCACCAATTTCAAAGCTTGACAGTCTTCGCGCAGAAGGAGGGGGATCTTGCTTCTTCTTGCCAACTGATGTAAAACATGCATGATAAGTTGTCCATTATGACCTTCATGTGTTTGACCCTGATAAGTGGTAAAAACTGGAGACAGGGGCATCTGACCGCTCTGAGTTCCAGGAGGTTGATGGGTAGCATAGTCTCTTGCAACGTCCACTCACCCTGAGTCATGTGAGTGTTTAGCTGAACTCCTCACTTTAGCAGAGAGACATCCATCATTATGATGACCGTCCATTGCGGGAGGATGTGCAAATGGGACTCCTGCACACACACTGTGATGGTCTTTCCATCAGTTGAGGGATTGTTTTACAGAGGTGGGTATGGAAAGAAGCATATTTAAATGGCGTCTGGTGAATAAACAGTTCTGAGCCACCCCTGAAGGCAGTGCATTCTGAGTTTTGAGTGTTCTGTGACAAAGGTGCTGGCTGCCACGTGCCCCAGCAGCTGAAGACTGTTCTTGACTGGAGTTTGGGGGCCGAACTTATTTATGTTGGCTATGCTGGAAAGGGCCACAAAGCTGTGCAGAGGAAGGAAGGGTCTTCTGTTACTGAATCAAGATGTACCTGCACAGGGGTCAAAGTGAATTTTTGAATGTTCAATTGCAGGCCCAATTCAAAGAAGAGATCTATCACCTTGGAAGTTACCCGAGCCATTGGTTCCAGGGAGCAACCTTTCAGCAGCTACTTGTCCAGGTATGGGACTACTAAAATACCTTTCCTATGGAGCTGCACTGCTACTTCTGACATAACTTTTCAAAAGTGCCTCGGGGCAGACGACAGTCAAAAGGAGTACACTCAGTATTGAAAGTGGTCCTGGCCAACAGTGAAACGTAGGTATGACATTGGCAGACCAGATCATACCACAGTGTATTCAGTCCAATTCACTTGTGTATTAGTATAGACCAAAATGATTGTTGAAAGTAGAAGACTGCATTTGATGTTTAGACTTCATGAAAGTAATGGGACGTTACTTGCACTGTATACCCCTGTAACTAAAATAAGCCATCAAAGAAGCCGTGTGGAATGCTAATGAAGGACTTCAACAGAAAAGTGCTATTTCCAAAGAAAGTGGCCATTGTGTGTGATACCCAGAGGTCAAAAGACTCAAAGTGCATTCCCCACTCACCGCCATCAAAGGAAAAGCCCACATGGGCTCAGCTGGTTTTCTGTCAAAAGAAGTATGGATTCAAGGAAAGATGTTTCATCTCTGGACTCTTACAGGGAAATGTATCAGATGCAAAGCAGAAGTCTGCAGAGACAATCTGGGTACCCTGAAAAGATTCTGCAACCATTTGGAATTACAAACTGTGACTCACCCATATTTTATAGATTATAGATATAGATATAAAAAACCTCAGTAACTCATTTCCTTTTCTTAACTAATAAATCTTTAGTTAATTTACTATAGAATTGGTTGCCAGTGTTGTCTTTGTTGTAAGATCTGGAGTACCAACTGATCTGGGGTAAGCGACTGGTCTATGGGACTGGGAGCAACCTGATGTGGTAGGATTTTTGGTTTAACTGACCATTAGTTCAGTTTGTCTGAGTGGCAAGATAGACTGGAGAGTCTAAAGGGAAGCAGTCGGGGCAAAAGACCTATCTGGCTTCAAGATTAAACTCGATAAGTTTATGGAGGAGATGGGATGATGGGCTAACATGATTCTGGCAATTAATTGATCTTTAACTATTCATGGTAAATAGGCCCAATGGCCTGTGATGGGATGTTAGATGGGGTGGGATCTGAGTTACTACAGAGAATTCTGTCCTGTCTG